CCTGAATTTGGTGTTTTTAGGTCCAGCGGTTTGGCCTGGGCATTGATTTTACAGTGAGGGGACTTTCATTGGTATATGTACTAGGAATAAGGCCCGTTGTGGAAATAAATACAATAAACTCTAGAAAGAGGCTCTGGGAGAGTGCCAAGGCCTTGGGCACTCAGCATCAATTTGCTTTGGCAACCTCAGCAGGATATAATGACACAGAGTCCACCATTTTCTCCAGGGGAACTGATCTCTGCTATCTGAAGAGCAGCTGTAATTCTGCGTGATTTCCATCCTCACCTGGAGACTGGCAACAATAATTCCCCCTGAGGGAATGGCTAGTTTGGAGGGCAAAGTCTATGGCATTGTACCTGTCTGAGGTCCCACCCCTCCTCAAACCTCCCCCTCTCCAGGCTCCACCCGTCAAATCTCCATGAATTTCCCAACCTGGAGTTGACAACCCTATCTCCCAGCTGTCAACCTACCATTATCTGCCCCCTGGCTTCAGCTTTCTATCTCCCCCCCTCCCTCCTAGAGAGCAGTTGTAATTCTGAGTGATCTCCAGCCCCCACCTGGAGATTGGCAACAATGGTTCCCCACGAGGGAATGGCTGGCTTGGAGGATGGAGTCTATGGCATTGTACCTGTCTGAGGTCCCACCCTTCCTCAAACCTCACCCTCTCTAGGTTCCATCCCTCAAATATCCTGGAATTTCCCACCTGGATTTGGCAACCCTATCAAACCCAGTAAAGGACTGGTACCAATGAGATTTCTCCCAAAGGCCAAAATAGGTGTCAAAAGGGCCTTTCACTGACATAATCTGGTTGCCTAGAAACGGGCACTGAGGAGAAAATACAGTTGCCAGCTCTGATTAGGGAAATACCTGGAGATTTGGGGGGTGGATCCTGTGGAGGGCACCATGGAGGGGGGGATGGAAGGACTCAGTAGGGGATAATGCCATAGGGTCTACCCTCCAAAGCAGCCATTTTCTCCAGGGGAACTTATCTCTGTCATCTGGAGATCAATTGTAACAGTGGGAGATCTCCAGGTCCCACTTGGAGATTGGCAACCCTAGGGAAAAGTCAGCCACACAGCGGGGGGTGTGTGTGAAGAGAATGGTTTGATGGTCGCTTGCCCACCTCATTAGCCAGCCAGCCATGGTGGAGCCAAAAAGGAGAGAGAGCCATTTTAAGTTTATCCTGACAGGAAAGTGGCCAAGCTGGCATTGGGCAAAGGATGGGGTGGTGCTGAAACTCCTTTTGCTGACAGAAGCAGGCTTGGTTGCCTACCAACAGGCACTGAGGGGACAGTTAGTCACAGTTAGTCCCACACAGGAGCCAAGAGAAGTGCCTTCCTCAGGAGAGAGTCCAGCTTTCCAGGATCTGCAGCTCGTTTCCTCTAGGCCAGACCCTCCCTTGTGCTGTCGCTGCTGCTGAAGGAAGGCGGGGGAGCCTTTGAAAGGTGCTGGGCAGTCTTCTCTGCAATGCAGCCTGCTGAGCTATCACCCTGACGAAACACCGGCCTTGCGGCTGAGGGAGAGGGGCTGCAAGGGGCTGCGAAGCTGAGTGCTCCCCCTGCTAGCCGCCGCTCGCTAGGTCTGCCTCCTTCTGCCCCATGGAGGGGTTGCTGCTCAGAAGCTGTCCCTATCCACTGGCTGTGTTGCCACAGAGGCGGCGCCCACCAAAACTTTCCTCAGAAGACGGTTGCTTTGCTCTGGTGAACACAGCTACTGTCTTCACTCTCTTTACCAGACAACGATTGATTCCCTCAGGGGACAAAACCCAGTGTCTTTAGCCTCCAAGCCAAGTTTGCTGAGGTAACACTTTTCAGAACAGTAAAAAACCCCCCAAGTAAACAGCTGTCAGCGTGGCAGAGCCGGGGGGGGGACCAGCCCAAGTTATCACAAAAAAGCTAGTGGATACACACAGAAGCAGAGATAGTGGATGGGACCAGACACACAGAAAACAGGAAGCCAAAAACCCGAGGCATGCTTCAAAGCAGAAATACACAGACATGGACAGATCTACGTAGGCATGCACAAACAGAAGGAGTGCCGGAACAACTGGCTGAAGTGGAGAATGACATATACATTAAAAAAAAACAGAGAGTGTGCGACACTGGGATAAACTCTGTGAGTGGGGGGAACCTTTAACTACACCCAGAGTGTGAAAACCAATTACAAAGAGAGAGGCAAACCGACAGAGACAGATACAGACATCCAGATACATATTTAAAGCGAAAAAAGGACAGAAAAAAACAAGAACCCAGGTCAGAGTTTGGCTTCCTATAGAAATTATAATCAGGCATTGTTCTTAACTTTTGTGATCTTTATTTAGCCTTGACTAAGGAGAGGAACAGGCAGAGACAGATACATATAGACAAACGTTCAAAGGGGAAAAATGTGGCAATAAACAAGACACACACTACACATGACAAACCCAGTAAAGTGTGCAAAAACAAAAAAAATTAGAATACACTTCGGCCACAGCAGAGGAAGGAGATGTTTAGACAAAAAAAACCCAGTGTCTCATATTTGCAAAATGCATCTTCACTGGCTATCATATACTGCTAATATGTACTTAACCTGCTTTCAGTTGATGCATTCGTTACACATCACATCTTTCTAGAGCTCATTGTATTGCTTTTACAACAAGCTTTACTGCTAGTGTATGTGTGTGTGCGTGTGCGTGTGTGGGGAACCTTAAAATACCCAAAGATAAGAGGAGCACCTATAGCTTTAACAAATAGATTTCCTCAGTGGCTGTTACTAGGCAACCACAGCATTCCAAGGCTTGGTTTCTATGAGTAAAACACAGGGAGATGAGGCAGGGTCATTTCCAGGGGGATAGGACAGGGTCCTTTGCATGGCTGTTTCGGCCTTTGAGAGAAGTCTCATTGGGATTAGGCCTGACAGCAATCACTGGGTGACTTGATACCTCATGCATGACCTACCTAGGCCTGACTGCCTAGCCCCCCCATGAAAGACAGTGTGGTTTAGCTTCAGAGCGAGGTCTTGGGAACTCTAGTTCAAATCCCCATCTTGCTGCGGCAGGTCACTGGGTGATTTGCGGCCAGTCACATACTTAACTTATCTCACAGGGTTGTTGTGAAGAGAGGAGAATAATGTAAGCTGCTTTGGTCCCCACTGTGGAGAAAGGTGTGTTATAAATGAAGTAAATAACAAATATAGCTGAAGATGGGAGACAGATAAAAATGGCTGAGAAGGCAATAATGAGGCAGGGAAAGGGGAGGATATGGCAGCTGTCAGAAGGAGAGTAAGAGGAAGTATTGTGGGGAGGGGGATACAGGGGAAAGTGAGGTGCCCCTCACAGGACATAAGAACATAAGAAACGCCAATGTTGGATCAGGCCAAAGGCCCATCCAGTCCAACACTCTGTGTCACACAGTGGCCAGAAATACCAGTGCCATCAGGAGGTCCACCAGTGGGGCCAAGACATTAGAAGCCCTCCCACTGTGGCCCCCCCCCCAAGCACCAAGAAGACAGAGCATCACTTGCCCCGAGCCCCTATCTATACCGTGTGGCTAATAGCCACTGATGGACCTCTACTCCATATGCTTATCTAATTCCCTTTTGAAGCCGTCCATGCGTGTAGCCGCCACCACCTCCTGTGGCTGTGAATTCCATGTGTTAATCACTCTTTGGGTGAAGAAGTACTTCCTTTTATCTGTTCTAACCCGACCGCTCAGCAATTTCATTGAGTGCTCACGAGTTCTTGTATTGTGAGAAAGGGAGAAAAGTACTTCTTTCTCTACCTGCTTGTAATGCAAGTGGCCCTGACCCAGTGGTCAGCGTCACACAATGGGGCCATAGTTTTCCTAGGTAGAGGCTGCTTGGGGGAGGGGAGCTGAAGACCAAGGGACTGATAAAAGTTGGGTGGGAAAGAGAGAAAGAAGTAGGAAAAGGGTAGAGCTATATGTGCTTTCAGGAAAGGAAAAGAGGAAATAGTGGAGGAGGGGAAATGAGATGCCCCTGCAAGTTCTTGTGAGTTTCCACTTGTTAATTTCTGTTCTTCTGAACATGGACCTAGATGCATAATACAGAGAAAGGAGAGAGGTCAACAAACTCAGGAGAACCCTCAGGTTTGCAGAAAAATTTAAAAGCTGAAGGGGCAAGACAAGGATTTAAAAATCTTGAGCCTTAAAAAAAAAGTTCTCATGACTGTACATCGCAAGATCTCAGGGGTCAATTTGGGAATTGCCATACAACCCCTAGAATAGTTGCAGGAGGTAGGGGAGACCGCTGTAAGGGAAAAGACAAAGGAAGTTGGGGAAGATAAGAGCTGGTGGCTTTTCAGACGCCTCTGCTGGCTTCTCTTTCCTCAGCCCTGCCACTTCCTCCTCGTGGCCCCTAGGAGGTAAAAAGGAGGGCAGCCAGGGAAGGCAACAATGAACACGAGTCAGTGTCCTTCTGTCTCAGCTGCACTGCTCATTCTCTCTTGGCAGTAGCAGCAGATTTTCCCTGTGAGTATTTTGTGGGCCCCAGTAATTTCAGGTCAGGTTGCTCCTACAACTCAGTAAGTTATGAATTCCTTCCCTGGTGGATTGAGCCCTGATGGATCAATGTTCTTCATAAAGTGGAAGGGAGTTGTGGGATTCAACCCATTCATGTTGTTTTATATTCCAAAAAAATTAGGTTTGCACTGAGTTAACACTGGATGCCTTATCACCCGTCTTCATTTGGAAAAATTCATATTTTTTACTTATAAGTAACCATTCACTTAGAAGTTTCGTTCAAGGAAGAAAAGGGAGACGATATTACACAGTGTTTTATCTGAAGTGTTAGGCTGGGAGAGGTTGTGACTCCATGACAGAGCACACATCTTGCATATATACGGTTGTGGTTTAATTCCTATCATATCCAGTTAAAGAGACTCAGAAGCAAATGCTGGGAAAGAATAGATGTTACTGAGCTTGGAGAACCAATGATCTTTCTTCATAGAGCAGCTTCATAAGCCCATGGTTTACAAGTGACTGCTTTATTTTTCTTTTGGAAAGGGACTACGACGTGAACTGAAGGATAAAGAGCAAGCTATTCTAAATGCTGTGGACCAAGCACGAGTATTCCTTGCTGATCAACCAATTGAAGGCCCTGAAGAACCAAGAAAAAACTTACTTTCAAAGCCAGGTCAGTTTTTGTAATTTTTTTAGTTTTGTAAAACTTTAGAGTGCAAACTGAAATACCAAACTTCTCAAGTGAAAAATACTGCTCTTGTTGAATAAATACAAATTATTTTGATTCATATGCAGTGTGTCAAAAAGAAAGAGTATATATATCATTATAAGTGGAGGTAAAGATGTTCCTGAGAACTTAAAATGTGCCTTCTAAAGAAAATCTTGAATAGTAGCAGAAGATCGTTTTAGTGTGTATTATACGTTAGGACTCTTGGTGAGAAGGCAGGCAGTTTTACAAATGTTACTCTCGTAAATATTCTTTATTTGATAAACATAATACTCAGGTTCTCTTTTTGACAGGTTAGATTCTTACATGAGGTTTTGGGAGATGGTATAATTAAGATTGCAAACATTACTTGGGAATATTCAGAGTGCAGGTTGGTGTAACATGTTTGTAGAGACATGATAACTAAAAGACCAATTTATGTAATGATCTAAAACATTGCTCTCCCGTGCTCTTGACCAGATTTCTTGAGAAGGCTTATAAACAATTATGATGACCTAACAATAAGAGCTGGAGGGTGGGGGGAGGCTTCCATTCACTAACAACTGTCATAGTAACCCACACTGTCAAAAGTATCTTACTTTTATTTAAATTTATTTTTTTATTTTATTATATTATAATTATTATTTATTATTATTTAAATTTTAAAAAATCCAAATCCATCATTTCATTCACTGGATCATAGCTGCATTTCCTTCCTTACTTATGTTCTTTAAGTTGATTTATAGTGTTATGACACTTTTTTGAAACAGCAACACAGTCCATATATATATACATACAACTAGAGTGGTTATGAAAATTTTCTTTAAAGTGATTAGCATATTTGGAATAGTATGAATTTGTTGTAACAATTTAATGGAAAAATTAGAGGTGCAAGTCTAGATTGGAGTATATTACTACAGCAGAGGAGCAACTCTTCTGTAGTGGCTGTAGATAATATATGATAGACTTATTTTGATTTCTGTGAAAACTGTAATGTAGTTAGCTTTGTAAAGGAAGGACTGAAAAAAGGATGCATGAATTCCAAAGTCCCACAAGATTCAGAGCCAAAAGCAAAAGCAATTTTTAAATGAGAATTAAAGTTAAAGCTGTAGCTGGATGGTACAATTCAAATTTAAGATATCAAAAGGTTTGAAACTGTAATCCCAAAGTAGTCATACTATCATAATTTCCCAGTCATTCTAGAAGACATGTCTGCCTCTTATTTTGATCTTAGGGTTCTATCAAAGTGTCAGGTCAATATATAAATTTAAAAAAAAAACCTAACTGAATACATATACCACAGCCAAGTCAGACTAGGGGCTTTAACAGTAGGATAGTAGAATTTGGATTTAAAAAATGTGGCCACTGTAGTTCATACCAAGGTAACATCTAGAATGATCTACTGCAGTGTGCTGTACGTGGAGCTGTCCTTGAAGTGTGTTTGGACACTATGGTTGGTACAGAATACTGCAGCCAGTATACTAACTGGAGTGGATCAGAGGGACCACATTACTTCAGTGTTGTCCTGTATACACTGGCTCCCAGTTAGCCTCCAGGCCCAATTCAAGGTGCTGGTATTGAACTTTAAAGTCCTATATAGCTTGGGTCCAACGTGGTGTAAGGACTGGCTACTCCCATATGATACTACCTGACCACTCTGGTCATGTTCAGGAGCTGTTCCTTGGGTGCTCATGCCTCTAAGACTATATGGATGGCAAACCAAGAAAGGCTATTCTCAGTCTTGTCACCAAAATTATGGATTTTTCACTCCATGGAGATCCATCTGTCCCTCTCTGTCATTGTGTTCCATCTGTTTAATCTGGCATTCCTTCACTTATCCTCCTTCCTTAGTATGTGTCTTCACTATGTATGTGGTGTGTTTTAATTGTTTTTATACTATATTTTTAAAAGCCTGCTTCAATGTTTTTGATTGTTTGTCTCTGGGGACCCTAAACTGGGTGGAAAGGCAGCATAAAAAGGCTATAAATAAATAAAAATAAATATGATCATTCTATTTTGAAATTATACTTCCAAATAAGATCGCATGATATGAATAATATTGATCACAGTTTTACTTATTTAATAGACCCATTCATATGTGATAGGTAGTGTAAAAATTTTGCCACTTAAAACTATATTTCAGTGTACTATTATGGGCTTTTTGTTCTCTCCTGCTTTTCTGGTATGTTATTGGGAACAACTTGCACTGTAGGAAATTCATTATTACATGCAGGCAACTTTTAGCTTAATATTTTGTCTCATATTTCAGTTTTTCTAATGTATTCCCATTTTGTGTTTCTGTTATGAATACCTACCAATTAAAAGAAATGAATATTTTTTCCCTGTCTAGTTCTTGTCAGGCTCTTTCACTGGAACTTGCCTCTGGCTGTTCTGAACACCCAAGAAGACGCCATGCTACATTAGGCAGCTTTGATGAGATTTTGCATGTATAATATAATTTATTTCATCAAAATAGGGAAAATATTTCCTGAATATTCAAATCTTTCCATAATATAAGAGAAATTGGTAGTATCTATACAATAGATTCTATTAATGCAATAGAGTCTATTTAAACAATACAGCCTATGAAGTTAGAGTTTGATGTATTGGTAAATTTCTCCGTTTCAAGACTAGTTGGAGTTTGCATTACCTGATTAATACCGGATTTCTTTCCAATTAACCATATTTATAAAAGAATTAAAACAAACTTCAATTTTGAAGGCTCCAAAGCTTCAAACTGTGCACCTAATACACCTATAGTTAAAAATACATGACAACATAAACCCCCCTCTTTGATGTACACCTTAAAGTGGTGAAAAGGTTTGTGTGTGTCAGCAAAGCTGAGAGGAATACTGTAAGGCGTTTAGACTCTCTCAGGAGAACATAAGAAGAGCCCGGCTCGATCAGACCAACGGTCCACCTAATCCAGCATCCTGTACCAGTTCCTCTGCAGGGCCAACAACAGGACATAGAGGCCACGACGTTCCCCTGATGTTGCCTCCTGGCTCTGAGATTCAGAGATTAAGTGCTTCTGAATGTGGAAGTTCCCCTCAGTCACAATGGCTAGTAGCTATTGATAGACCTATCCTTCACGAACCTAATCACCTTTTAAAGCTGTTCATTCCTGTGGCCATCATTATATCCTCTGACAGTGAATTATGTATTCTAATCACTCTCTTAAAGAAGTATTTCCTTTTGTCCATCCTGAATCTACTGTCCATCAGCCCTCGAGTTCTAGTATTTTTGGAGAGGAAGAAAAATTTCTCTTTGTCATCTCTCTCTACCCCATGCATAATTTTATAAACCTCTCTTTTCTAAATGGAAAAGTTTCAGACTCTTCAGCCTTTCCTCAACCCGCTAATAATCTTGATCACTCTTCTCTGTACTTTTTCTAGTTCTGCAATGTCCTTTTTTTAGATACTGTGATGAGAACTGTACACAGTATTTGAGATGAGGCTGCACGATAGATCTATGTAGGAGCATTATAATATTGGCCATTTTATTTTCAATCTCTTTCTTAATAATGCCCAATGTAAAGAAGTTTGCATTTTTCACTGCTAAAGCACACTAGGCTGATACTTTCATTGAGGTATCCACTATGACCCCAAGGTCTCATGCTCTCAGCAGTTCCAGACCCTATCAGCATATACTTATAGCTGGGAATTTTTTGTTCCATTGTGCATCACCTTACACTTACCTACACTGAACTTAATTTACCACATTGTTTTCCACTCATGGATTTAAATTAAGGGCAGAAAGATACCGGCTGGATATATATTATGAAAAAAAATTTTTTTGCAGTACAAGTAGTTCAGCAGTGGAATTGGCTGCCTGGGGAAGTGGTAAGCTCCTCACTTGGCAGTCTTTAAGCAATGGCTGGACAAACACTTGTCAGGGATTTTAGGCTGACCCTGCATTGAGGTTGGACTAGATGCATTTAGGCTGACCCTGCAGGGGGTTGGACTAGGTGGCCTGCAAGACCCCTTTCAGCTCTATGAATCTATCATTCTAAATCCAGGTTGGAGAATACTCAGTTCAGCTACTGGGACAGAGTGGAGGCTGACTATGAATAACACTATTCTTAATGAGGCAACTGGACTAAAGCTGGAAGGCCATTCAGTTGTTGATGTGAATGGATGCCAAAGCAAAGTTTAGAGCCATTCAATTAATATAATAGGACCATGGAACATGAGAAGTATGAATCAAGGTAAGCTTGAAATAGTAAAACAAGAAATGGAACATTTAAACATTGCAGTCCTGGGAGTGAGTGAACTATAGAGGACTGGATTAGGTCATTTTCAGTCAGAAAATTACACAGTGTTTTACTTGGAGAATGACAACACAGAAGGAATGGAGATGCTCTAATGGTGAGGCAAGCTGTATAACAAACAGACAGGAGATATAATGCAAAGTCTGACTGAATAATATCAATCCGACTTCATTGAAATCCTATCAATATAGCAATCATTCAAGGTTATGATGATGATGAAGAAACTGAAAGCTTTTATGGACAAGTGTCCAGGAAGTAATTTATCACATACCTAAACAAGATGTGATGATAATCCTAGGTGACTGGAATGCAAACATAGGAATCAAAAGCAGAATCCAATATTGTTGGAAGTTTTGGAGTATGAGCATGAAATAAAGCAGGAGAGTGATTCATTGTATACTTGTAAACATGTTTCAGGTGATATATGTGGACATCACCACTATAGAAATCAAATAGGTTACAGAAGCAGAAGCAGAAGATGGAGAAACTTAATTCCTATAGCCAAAAGAAGAGCAAAGCCTCGATGGATGACTGATGAAACTCTTAAAATTGCTAGATGAGAAGCAAATGCAATGCATTTCCAACAGTCCAGATGAAGGGCCGTTTTCTCAAGACCCCTCTGGACCAGCGCTATTGTGACTGCCCTTTGATAGAACTTGACTCACCATGTCATGTTTTCTTCTACTGTCCAAAACAT